GTTCTCTTGCAACTGCTGTTGTCTCTCTTCTTGTTTGTCTTGTTTCTTTTCTTGTTTATTTTCTCGTTCTTCTTGTTTCTTTTCTTTTTCCTCCAACAACAGCTGTAATCTTTCTTGTTTATTTTGTTGTTCCAGTTGCCACTGTTGCAGGTTCTCTTGCAACTGCTGTTGTCTCTCTTCTTGTTTGTCTTGTTTCTTTTCTTGTTTATTTTCTCGTTCTTCTTGTTTCTTTTGCTGTTCTTGTATTGCTGCCATCAAATCTGCTAAGCTGTAGTTTGATTTGCCACCTCTTGTTTCCATCTTCTCTTTTTTTTTTCCTATCCCACTTCTGACACCAATTTGTTACGTCTCCATTCGTTAGTTAATTTTTCGTAAATTCTTTCTGATTAAACTTTAGCGACACAAGTCCTTTCTTAAATAAAACTGGTTTATTCTTTCTGAAAACAACTTTGCGATACACTTAATTTCCACAGTCGCGCTATAACAAATGCTATAATTCACAACAATGCTCTGTCCGCAGTTCAATTACACATTGTTACCATCACGTTGTGACCGTCTTATATATACAATACTACCCCATATCTAGTAGTCTCCCGATGCTTCATGAACGTTCTAGAAGCGCGTGGCATGTTACTAGTGTCACGTGACCTCCACTGTCGTAACAGTATAATTTCAGGTACACTATTAATAGTTTATATATACATGACATCATAAATACATCCCTGGACATACAACAGAAAACAGTATAGATTCAGGTACACTATTAATAGTTTATACATATATGACATCACAAATGCATTCCTGGACCTACAACAGAAAAATACTGAAAACAGTATAGTTTCAGGTACACTATTAATAGTTTATATATACATGACATCATAAATACATCCTTAGACCTACAACAGAAAAATACTGAAAACAGTATAGTTTCAGGTACACTATTAATAGTTTATATATACATGACATCACAAATACATTCTTGGACCTACAACAGAAAAATAAGATTCAGGTACACTATTAATAGTTTATATATACATGACATCACAAATACATTCCTGGACCTACAACAGAAAAATACTGAAAACAGTATAGTTTCAGGTACACTATTAATAGTTTATATATACATGACATCATAAATACATCCCTGGACCTACAACAGAAAAATACTGAAAACAGTATAGTTTCAGGTACACTATTAATAGTTTATATATACGTTACATCATAAATACATCCCTGGACCTACAACAGAAAACAGTATAGTTTCAGGTACATTATTAATAGTTTATATATACATTACATCATAAATACATTCCTGGACATACAACAGAAAACTACTGAAATCAGTATAGTTTCAGGTACACTATTAATAGTTTATATATACATGACATCATAAATACATCCCTGGACCTACAACAGAAAAATACTGAAAACAGTATAGTTTCAGGTACACTATTAATAGTTTATATATACATGACATCATCTATATTTTTCTACCTTAACTCAACTAACTGTTATTATATACGTAGTTAGGAGAATATGGATAAGTACAATACTCTTACAAAAAGATAAGATCCAAGACTTTCTTTTAACCTGTTTATTACTTGACATTCAGGCAGTTTAAATCTCTACAAAATAAAAACTGTAGAAAAATTATTTTTCATATAAAGTAAACTTACCTGAAAGGAAACTGTTTTTCTTTTCTTTAACAGATCACTGATGATTCCATACATCATTGTACCAGTGTTGCTAAATACATGAAAAAACACAGGATGTTTTTCCAGACCAATATCTTCCAGAAAAGCAATTAACTTCAAAGCATGTTGATACAACAGTTTTTGAGCAGACATATTTAAAACACACTGAACTGGAGGAGTATACCGAACAGTGATGCAACTGAAATAAGAAGAAATTGTAATTTCATAACTAAGTATATTTTATGCTTTTGTCCATTATGTATGTACGTGTCCTGTTTATCTTGTGTAACTATATATTTGTACAACCTATCTTTACCATTGCATATCCTTACAAGGGCTATACTTTCAAAATGGGTTTTCATCAACAGATGCTGACTAGATAACTGTTGTTAAAGTTTTGTAATGTTACTTCACTCAGTAGTTAATACATACAATTAGAAACTAATAACTTTAACATTTGTATCAACGTTAATGTTAGTACAAAGTACTTCACTCAAGAACCTTTACACTTACTTTGAGTATCTATGTGTATATTGGATATGACAGTCAAAGTTCAAAACCAGTGAAAATGTTCTACCCATTTAAACTTATACACTGGTGTGATATATAACAAGTGAATGGAGCCAGTATTAATATATGAAGTTACATTTCTGATAATAAACGTTTATAAGTGAAATCTATGACTGTTTCACAATATAACACTTTACAGTAAAAAATTCCATAGCTATGTTTTAGTGATATGCAAATTACAAATTTTATTTCTGACCTATAACGTTGTTGGAAAATACCTATATTTTTGACATTTGGTATTCACAAACATGTATATAAACCAGTTCTTCCACTAATTTGTACGAACAAGTAGTCCAGACTTCCTGAACATCAATTTTAGAAGTTCCAGTCAAATATGTCAGAGATTTCAGAACAATGTACTATATGCTAAATGTTACTGTAACTATTATTTGTACCAGAGATCTATTAATTATTTGTCTTGTTTATCTGTGTTGCTCAAGACATGTCTAAGAAGCAGTATGAACAGTGCTAAAGTTTTTTGAATATTTTGAAGAATTATGACAATTCCCAAACAAATACTCAAAGTCTTGCAATACAGATGGTATGGGTTGAAGTCTTGCTGTGCTGATGGTACTGGTTGAATTCTTGCTGTGCTGATGGTACGAGTTGAAGTCTTGCTGTGCTGATGATATGAGTTGAAGTCTTGCTGTGCTGATGATATGAGTTGAAGTCTTGCTGTGCAAATGGTATGGGTTGAAGTCTTGCTGTGCAAATGGTATGGGTTGAAGTCTTGCTGTGCAAATGGTATGGGTTGAAGTCTTGCTGTGCTGATTGTACGAGTTGAAGTATTTCTGTGCAAATGGTACGGGTTGAATTCATGATGTGCTGATGGCATGGGTTGAAGTCTTGCTGTGTAAATGGTACGGGTTGAAGTCTTGCTATGTTAATGGTACGGATTGACTAACAATGGCCATAATTTAATTTTGTGCTATGTGAACTTCATGGATTCAAAAGGTAATTTAAAATTTTAAATCTTTCAAAATTTTATATACAAAAGAGTGAACATTTTTTAAAAGTTGTAGCATTAAAATAGGGTCAGCCAGAAACTGGAAACAAAGTTGTTGTTTCTTTGGTCTATGACATATAGGATCAAAGTATGAATGTTCCAAGAGCTACCACACATTCAATTTTGGCATCCAAAGGACAATTTTGGGCATATAATATGCCAGAAGGTCCACCAATGGAAAAATTGTAAACATGTATATTGTAAAATTATGACAGCGATTTTTATTCTTTTTTTTTTTTTACTTAAGTTATCAACCAGTCGAGAAAGCCCCACCCCCAAATAATCGATCAAGGCATCAAAATCAAACTAAATGTAGCATTTGACATTCATAGATCTATTTAGACTAATTGCATTTATTATCAGGCAAAAACCATTCTAAAAGTAAATTACAAAATAATTATATTAATAAAAGAACAAAAGTGTATATGGGTTTCCAAGCTTAAAACTTGTTATTCCTAATGTTGAAGTTTACATTTTCAATCTTTTCATCTCTAACCACTCAAAAATGCCATCCACAATTTACCTAGCAGTTTTAAACTACTGAGTTCTTTTTACTCTCGATTGATAATGCTTGTAGTTAAGCACAAAGCTACACAGGGGGCTATCTGTGCTCTGCCCACCACGAGTATCAAAAACTGGTTTTTAGCAATGTAAATGTGCAGACATACTGCTGTGCCACTTGGGGGCTTTTACTTTTGACAAAAACATTCAAAATGTTGAGTCTCATATTTCTTAAACCATGTATTGCTATATCCTTCCTGTAGTTAGGGGACCACAGCTCCATGCAGCGTTCCAATTAAGACTTCACAAGAATCAAGTTCAGAATAACCTTTTACACCAATTTATTGTTCTAAATAATATGGTCAACAAGGGAGCACTTGGTCCTCCAACACTGTTCTTGCACACCCACCCCAAGAAAAACTAAAAATTATATCCACCCTCTGTATCTCAGGAAATCATCAATTCTCCTCTTAAACTATTGCAATGTGCCAGCCTCTGCTACTGTGGATGGCAACTCCTTTCATATGCTAATCACCCTGTTATAAAAATAAAACTGGAGCTAGCCTGACTTTTCCAAATCTCAAACTTTTATCCTGTCATCCCATTCTTTTCAAAATATAGCACAAAGAAATCAGAGACCTTCACTCAAGATAACTCATTAAACTTCAATAAGATAATCTCTTCATTTCTAAAGAGAAAGTACAAGATCCTAACCTGTACCAATAAGATAACCTTTACATCCCCAGAAATTGCACTCTGTGAGAAAAATATTTAATGTGGGTGAATTAAACTGTGTTATTTTTCTAGCAAGTGAAGAGAATGGCTTGATATACTACATTCATACATAGATATTTCCATTATTAAAATGGTTTGATATACTACAATCATACATAGATATTTCCATTATTAAAATGGTTTGATATACTACAATCATACATAGATATTTCCATTATTAAAATGGTTTGATATACTACAATCATATATAGATATTTCCATTATTAAAATGGTTTGATATAATACAATCATACATAGATATTTCCATTATTAAAATGGTTTGATATACTACAATCATATATAGATATTTCCATTATTAAAATGGCATGATATACTTGATTGTTTCCCCCTACTTTTTTTTTAAGTTTCATTGAAGTAGGTTGATTAGTGATAATTTGGCTTATTTTTATAATTTAAAAATGTTAATATTATATCAGTTTCTCATATTTTGGATTACACTGGAGGCCAGTGAAGTTGGAATGGTTCCTTCAAAATGATACAAATCCCCCGGAATGCTGGACCAACATTGAGGAGATATTTACAGAACCCATGCCTTCCAACTTCACCCCAACTCACTGCATATACATACAGTCAATTCCACCACATGCTAGAGCCATGTCAATTAATAGAGAGGCCATGATATAGATCCCAGGCCATAAAATATGATACCACACATAAACACACATGCTTGGCCCCACTGAAAATTTGAAGAAAAGTACATTAGTATATAATGTATTGTTTTGATAATTAATAAACTGGCGTTTTAAAACTCAAGACATGAATAACATTTACACAGATCTGTCAGTTGTATAAATACTTTATACCTTAATATTAATTTAAACTATTCTCTACTTCTTTATTTATTTCTACTGAACTAGTTTTGGCAAATATTGTTTGTACAATGAAAGTCACAAATGGTCATTATATAAGAACAATTTGTTCTGCCATCTAGTGACCAGAAGTGAAACGTATTTATGAAACACGGAAATAACATATGCTTATAAATTGAACTCGCTGCTAATTAGTAGTTTTCCTTTTTATTATTTCCACACAAAAATACATTTGGTAGAAAAACAGAATAATATTACTGTTATACAAGTTGTGAAACACTCGATAATGGCGATTAGATGATCAAATACGGCTATAACTCAAATTTAGCAGTTATTTGTAAGCATCATAGAGTAATAGACTGAATGAGGCGCCCATATTTTTTTTTCTCGGCCCATCCTACACACTTAATACTACCGTATTCAGTGATATGCTACCAGTACTATTACTTAGTACTCAAAAACATTTAATTTTCGGAAATATAAAAATAAACTTTAGAATTAGAACAAAATATTGATGGTAATGAACAATTTTATAAGTAAAATCAAACTTAGAGCCTATATTAGCTAACTAACGGAAAATTATTTCTATCAGTGACACTACAAATAATTGTGACAATTATTATAAATAATACTTATAAGATAGCGATTTAATCATGATTTCACTTAAATAATCGCTAAAATGCTGTGTAGCAATTCCGTTTACTGTATGCAATAATGTGTAACTGCTGTAGCAAACAGTACGCCCTCTCACTTTTTCGACAGCTCATGGGTAACTATGAAATAATTTAATAATTATTACACTCTATAATATAGAATATTTATTACACTGTCCCTAAATATACTGTATTATTGATACAACACATTCACTTATTAATTATTTATCTCTTCTGCTACACTCATTACAAATTTCGCACCGTGCTCTATTTAAATATTTCAAATATAGTTTGTTTGTTTTTATTATACATGTAATTTACCAACACCGTGAGAGGGCGAGCCATACAGTTTGAGAGTTAAAACACTTGAATGAAACATTTAATAAAGTTAAATGCTGATGTTTCAAAATACTCAAATAGTGACTGAAATAATTATCAAATAACAGATTGGTGTTGACAATGTAAAGCAGTACCGCTAAACGAAAAATTAAAAACTATTATATCCGTAACTTGTATTTCTTTTTTGTTAAGCTTATTAATATTACTTACCCATATTTTTCATAAAGATTTCCGTATTTCGTTAGGTATCGATCCGCGCATCCTAACCAACCAAACAAAATAACAACCGGTTCTTTCTCGTTCAACTTGCAGATTAATGTATTTGACGACGGTACCGACGAAGGAAATGACACAAGAAACTCAAAATCATACGCATCCATTTGTTACTGTTGTATAGCGATAGATAGAATCAGATTTTAAACATTAATAACAATGAAATACAAGAGAAATAAGGCGTTTTTCTATACACTATCATATACCTAAATCGTCTTAGAGACTTGAGTTCTTCGAGCTGTTATTGATTTTGTCGCGTTGGGCAACGCCTACCTGGGGAAGGTGAAAACTATGATATTTAGATTGGTAATACAACGTTATAGCAGTAATATAAATTCAATACTTTTAATTTACTTCAGAAGTATGGAAGAGACAGGAATATATTTGTCAGCTATTTTAATAGTTCAGTTTTTGTTAAACATAGATCAATATTAAAACAAAAATCTTTTTGCACTAAATATATAGCAGTATGTAAAATCAAAATATAATTCTGAATTATGGAGCAAAAATAAAGGAAGAAAAAATATTTTCCAGTTATAATATCATTTTAAATTATAAGTTGTTTTTTATCCGACAAGTTTACGTGTGAGATATACTATTAAACAAATTTTCTTCCAAGGTTCCAGTAAAAATTGTTTTATTTCGGAAATAGGGGTAACCATGACTAAAATGTTGGGGTGGTGGAAGGCATAAATGGATTGTTACGAAATGTACATGGCCTTTTTGTTGTTGTTTGTTTGTAATTAAACACAAAGCTACACAAGGACTATCTGTGATCTGCCCACCACGGGTATCGAAACTCGATTCCTAGCGTTGTAAGTCCGAAGATATACCCCTGTGCCACTGGCGGGCGCCTTTTTTTTTCATTGGACTTTCTGTGAATTAGTTTTGTCAATAAAACGCATACATTTTTAGTTCTACTATTACTTCTTTTAAACAAAAACATTTAATAACTGTTTTATTTCTCTTTTATTAAATTCCACATAACAAAAAGTAGGATCGCATTGCAAGATGAAATAAAAAATAACACGTTGATTACTATATACATTATTTGGACAAACGCAAGAATTAATAAAACGTATAATTAAAAGTTTGGATGAAATTGGAGAATATAAATCAAGAATTTAGAAAAGAGATTAGTTAATAAACATACTGGTTGCCGACTTAATTCAACAGTGGGTCATAGAACGATCACTGATTCTAGTTATTGGGACCTATTTAATGCACTCGGACTTACGGAGCCCATGTAGATATGTTGGAAATTATCAAAACATACTTAGTTAACAAAGTACTTATAAATATGAAATGAAGAAACCATCTAAATTTATATAGTCTACAAAGCATGTAATATTAACGAATGTACAAAATGACTAAAATTACCTAGAAACAATATTAACAATCAATATGTGACTTATATTTCCTCTAAGTTAACATAGACAAGTCTAAAATGCTTAATCTGCTTAATTCAAATCTTTCTCATACAAATTTCGCACAATTTAAGGTAGGCACATTTCAATATCTTACAGAAAAAAAATGGATATTTTCACTGCAGAAAATAATAAAAAAGTCACGTTAAGCTACCCGTATAACCTTCCAACGAAAACGCTTAACGTTGCTTAATGTGCTTAAATTCAAATATTCCGCATACAAACTTCGCACAATTCAAGATAGGCACATCCCAATACTTTACAGAAAAACTGGATGATTTCAGTAAAGAAAACAATAAAAGGTAAAAACAGTCATGTTACTCTACCCATATAATCTTCCGATGCTTAATGTAGAAAACGTTTTATTAACGTGGCTTAATGTGCTTAAATTCAAACCTTTCGTATACAGACTTTGCACAAGTTAAGGTAGGAACATCCCAATACCTTACAGAAAAAACTGGAAATTTTCGGTAAGGAAATCAATAAAAAGTCACATTACACAAGTCATATAAGGTACTTAATGTGAATTGCGCTCTATGAGAAAAATATTTAAAGTGGGTGAATTAAACTGTGTTTATTTTTCTAGCAAGTGAAGAGAATGGCTTGATATACTACAATCATACATAGATATTTCCATTATTAAAATTGCTTGATATACAACAATCATACATAGATATTTCCATTATTAAAATTGCTTGATATAATACAATCATACATAGATATTTCCATAATTAAAATTGCTTGATATAATACAATCATACATAGATATTTCCATTATTAAAATTGCTTGATATACTACAATCATATACAGATATTTCCATTATTGAAATGGCTTGATATACCACAATCATATATAGATATTGCCATTATTAAAATGGCTTGATACTACAATCATACATAAATATTTCCATTATTAAAATGGTTTGATATACTTCAATCGTATATAGATATTTCCATTATTAAAATGGCTTGATATACTGCAATCATATACAGATATATCCATTATTAAAATGGCTTGATGTACTACAATCATACATAGATATTTCCATTATTAAAATGGCTTGATATAATACAATCATACATAGATATTTCCATTATTAAAATGGTTTGATATACTACAATAATATATAGATATTTCCATTATTAAAATGGCTTGATGTACTACAATCATATATAGATATTTCCATTATTAAAATGGCTTGATATACTACAATAATATATAGATATTTCCATTATTAAAATGGCTTGATGTACTACAATCATATATAGATGTTTCCATTATTAAAATGGCTTGATATAATACAATCATACATAGATATTTCCATTATTAAAATGGTTTGATATACTACAATCATATATAGATATTTCCATTATTAAAATGGTTTGATATACTACAATCATATATAGATGTTTCCATTATTAAAATGGCTTGATATACTACAATCTTACATAGATATTTCCATTACTAAAATGCCGCTTCGCTCTTATCACCCAAAAAGTAGCTGGCAGTCTTCTATATAAATAATTAAAACTGAGCTACATAATGTGAAACTACACAAAATATTGTAAAAGCCATAATGTAATTTATTCATAAGTTGTGAATGCTAAGTTTTGGGGGTAAGACGAAACTATTTTAATATGCTTTATATAAAATAACTTACTTTTGTCTCGGCTGTCCTTGAAACATCGATTAGCAACAGGCTACAAATTCTCATTATGATAAATTACCAGTTCTTTATTTGTCCTTAATATTTTGTCATAAATGTTTTATGTTGATTTGAACATGTAACTGAACATTTATTTGTAGTCAAAAAACATGAAAAAAAGCATCATTTGGTCTATAAGTTTGGATCATCAGTGCTTAGTTCAATGTGCAAATCTGCAAACAACAAAGAGAATCTGAGCATACTTGTGATGGGGATCTCCCACACATTCAGTTGCATTGTACGTCGTACAGTTATTGTCTTGATTTAATGCAGATTCCAGCCTATATGGAATGCCTTCATCATCTTTTTCGTTCACTGAGATTTTGTACATAGACAACATCTTTTTTTATAAGACAAAACTATTTCATCGTATCACTGAATCATTTCTCTTTCAATTCTTCATCTTTTTTCCTTTCTTTTTGGTTTGTATTTAAGAATAATAGAATACATCTTGTTTATGGCTTACAGGGGAAAGTTGCTAACAATTCATAAATTATAACGTATATATCACAGTCATAACTGTTACTTTGTTAAGGAGTGTCAGTTACCTTCCAACCAGAAGACATCTTTAACTGATGTGTAAATGCAAACTATTGTTTTCATGAGTCCTGTAACAGCTATTTCTGCAGTTACTTTGTTGTGCATGGAGTTAAAAACAAACATCTTATTCTCACAGATAACTGCTATAGCAAGAAACCAATGGGATCCTAGGTTAAAGTATCTGTATTCAGTGGAATGAGTACGACATCATAATTGAGGACCTTGTTTGCTACACAGTAGGTAGTAGACAAGTCACATAATTAGACTTTTATGAAATTTGGATGAATGAAGTTATAAGTACCACGTCATAATTGAGGATCTTGTTTGCTGCACAGTAGGTAGGTAGACAAGTCACATAATTAGACTTTTATGAAATTTGGATGAATGAAGTTATAAGTACCACGTCATAATTGAGGATCTTGTTTGCTACACAGTAGGTAGGTAGACAAGTCACATAATTAGACTTTTATGAAATTTGGATGAATGAACTTATAAGTACGACATCATAATTGAGGATCTTGTTTGCTGCACAGTAGGTAGGTAGACAAGTCACATAATCAGACTTTTATGAAATTTGGATGAATGAAGTTATAAGTACCACGTCATAATTGAGGATCTTGTTTGCCACACAGTAAGTAGGTAGACAAGTCACATAATTAGACTTTTATGAAATTTGGATGAATGAAGTTATTGTGTCTTCTATGATCTCACCTTCAAGCCTATTCGTAGGACAAATATTTTTATGTTTTTCTAAGACATTTGACCAGTCAGAGATAAATACATCAGGAGATAGCCATGGAGGTGATACTACTTGTTTATGAATTGGTGTAGATGTAACAGTAAGTGAAAAACGTAGTTATAGTTTAATGTTGTGAAATCTGTTTTCATCTTTGTGTTTTTAATTTTGGATATACTGCCTTATCTTCACTGTCACTGAGCTTAGACATTATGGATATACTGCCTTATCTTCACTGTCACTGAACTCAGACAATATGGATATACTGCCTTATCTTCACTGTCACTTAACTCAGACATTATGGATATACTGCCTTATCTTCACTGTCACTTAACTCAGACATTATGGATATACTGCCTTATCTTCACTGTCACTTAACTCAGACATTATGGATATACTGCCTTATCTTCACTGTCACTTAACTCAGCCATTATGGATATACTGCCTTATCTTCACTGTCACTGAAATCAGACATTATGGATATACTGCCTTATCTTCACTGTCACTTAACTCAGCCATTATGGATATACTGCCTTGCAAGGTACTGCGACTTTTCTAAAGTGACATAAAAGAATCAGGAACAGGATCCACAGAATAATCACAATCCTTTCATCTAGGTTTCTTTCTTCCTGATTTCTTCTCTTGTCCCCTTCCTTTCTTCCTTATTTTGGAAAGACTGTAAATGCATATTAGTTGCCATTTTGACTGCAAGAAAGTAATAACATTTCCTTGTGCTTGGATGTTAACATGATTCTCCCTTTCGAGTGTACTTTATCACATTCACGTTTTGCACAATGTTAAAAAGTATGGAGGT